TGGGCGTGATGGTTGGGGGACGGATGGAACGGAACCCATCTTTGCATTACATACGAATTGGACCCCCCTCAGTGTCTCAAAACTTCTACAGCAAGACTATGGCGGTGTTCTGGCGACAGTGGGCAAGCATGGGAGTGTCTTTCAGAGCGATTACCAGTGGAGTTTGATGAATAGTTAGCATATCGACTCCTCAAGTAATAGGAAGAAGAGAACTCTGGCGAAAAATACTTCGAATTCGATGCCAGAACAAAGAATTGTAGGGGAAGGTTTGACGTAAGAGGAACTAGTTGCAAAGATGGAGTTGTGGACCGATCCGGAGATGGAATGCTTAGTCGAAAGGATTTTGCAAGAATTGCAAAGAAAATGAACCTCTGAAAATTACGGTCGATTGCACTTCTAGTTTGCAAGAGTCCAGAGCCTACAATTCATCTAGTAGTCCTTTCGGCAACGAAAGTACACTAGGAACTATGAAAGCTACTGCTGTTCTGGACTGTAACATACATGAGCGAACATAATAGGGTTTGATACTGTCATGTCTGATTGATAGATTTGAATTCAAAAACTCACAACAAGCGCTGAATCAATCATAGCCATTGACAATGACCAAGATGGAAAGCGCACAACAAACTGGAGCGGAAAATTCGGCGCGGACGAAGATTGGGAACGCAATCAATTCAGTAGGTCCTGTCGCTTTCGGTATTGGGCAGAAAATCTCTTGGCTACAAGAATATCCTGGAACAATAGCATTTAGAGCAATGGTGAAGAACAGCTTTGATGCGTATGGGGAAGCCAGCCAGGAGGGGCGGGATGAAATCGTTCGAGGGATTGTGAATCAATTTCCGCCCGATGTTACGATTGAGAAGAACGAGGTTCCTCAAGGCGAAGAAAGACGGAATAGACAACGAAGAACAAGAGACAACCGAAGGACTTCCTTGCGCTGAAGATATTATTTTCCGGTAAAAAAATGGCAGTTATCCCAAGACTCGCGGTACCCTGAAGTTCGAAGAAACCATTATGTTGACCCTTTCGGCGGTTCAAAATACAGGAAGGGAAAATCTACTTTAAAGGTTCAAGCGATGCGGTGAAAGGCATAGCGAGTCGACCTTTCAAGCAACAGAAAGAAGAGATCCCTGCCCAAAAATACTTCAAATACGATGCCAGCAAACATAAGCACTACCAACAGACTGACGATCAAGCATTAGACCGAACAGTGCTATTTATTGAAACAGTCAAAAGTACCCACAATAACGAAGTAAAGCCGATTGTGGAAAGGCGTTGAGAAAAGGTGAGATTTGTTTAAAAAATGAATCATCTACCGATTCATACTGGCAGCAACAAAGCTTACACTTGTGTTCGATTTGTAGAGAAGCAAGATGCAGAGAATATTCCTACTTTGTCCGAGTCTGGCATTACGAATCTTAGCCAATAGATCAACAGCATCACAAACACTGTAACCTTGCCTTCCTCTACTGCTATTTTACAAGAAAGTCATATCAATGCAGCTCGTCGTGGAACAAAACGACCATTCAATGAGACCAATGCAATCAACATGGATGAGACAAACGACTCGAATATATCTCCAAGACCATTGCGGGGTCAGATCGGCCCTTC